AATATTATACAAATTTTATTTAAATATATTCGCAGCTCTTTATTTGAAACAAAAATGAAAGGCATTTAGAAATACAAGCATTGCATTAAAAATGGTAGAATTTACAATAATCTAAACTAAAAAGGATGGCTCACCTACGGACGCAATAATTAATATTTGCCTTTTATAGACCAAAATTGACCGCCTTAAAATTGCTATTTTACTTCTTCCTTTCAAAAAAGTAAGGGAAAAATCGATCGTACAGGTTCGCCTTCGTGATCTCTGGTCCAAAACGGTCTTCTGAAATTTCCGTAATATTATACACAAATGCTAGCGGAGTGGTAATTTAAATGTTGTTCAAGTTTAATATGAGAATATAATATTTTTGGTTGAGACAAGCTTATAAAAACTCTAGGACCTTGATGACCAGCCAAGATCACCACCTCGCGAAATTACGAAACATTAAAATCGTTTCCTTAAAAGTTCTTACCGCATATGGCCATATTTTTAAAACCAAAAGTTATTATTATTATTTATATCTGCACCAATAATAATACCTACACATAAGCTGTGACTTTATGGTGTTTTAGTCAAGGGCTGAAGTTAGAAGCAGTGTTTTTCGGGCTTTTTATTTACGTGTTAGCTTTAAGTTAGTTGGCATTTTTGAAATGCCATACTATCGTCAAAATAAAGTGCAAATTTCATAATTAATTTAAAATGTAAAAGCGTTAAGCATTAAAAATTTCGGGTGGAGTAAAACATCTTCTTCACTTTCACTGTGAAAAAACTGCTTCTATACCGGATTTAAACGATGGTTAGATCATTTACAAAAATGACAAACACTGCCATTTTAAAAGCTGGCAAAACAGATTTGTAACACCAATTTGGTTACTCTATTTTTGTATAGATGTCGCTTTATACAAATATTTAAATTCATTATTCTGAAAACAATGGTAATACCTAAATTAATTTTTATAATACTATTTGTCGTCGGAAAAGTATAGTATGGATCTCGTTTATAAACTTTTCTAGACACTCAATTTATTAAACACTCGTCTAATTAAAATTTGCGACTAAAATGGCGATTATCAAATTTAATACCTAATATTATTTACTCCTACATTACCAAGCCGTGTATTTAAAAATTTAATACACGGACTAAAGTTTGCAAGAGTGTATTAAATAATAACATAATTAAACTCGTAACTTAAATGGTGTTTATAAAACTTGTTACATAATATTCCCAGTTGCGTTATGGCATTCTGGGTTGGGGTGGAGTTAATTAAGAATTTCCCGAAGACCTGGAAGTAAAGCTAAAATATATTTTGATGAACCTACTCTTTGGATGATTTATTTAAATTATAATAAAAACCAGACTGCAAACAATAATTATTGTATTACCTGACCCTTCTTAGGGCCGGTTTATCAATGTCCAGTTAACGTTGCAGTTAGTTATCGTGGTAGATAATTTCCATGGATACCATTGTTCTCACAACGATCGATATGGAATTTAACTGTCAGATAGACTAACTGGAACTTAACCAAAGATTGATAAACCGGCCCTTAATCATATACACTAGAAATAATTTAAACATTTCAAATACAAGACAACAAACTGAGTTGCAAATCACAAAAATAAATAAAACCATTGGCCAAACTTGTGGTAAATACTTAAACAAGACAAATTAAAAAATATTAAAAAAATATCTAAAATGTATGTTTTAAATTTATCTGGAATTACTGTGACTCCGCAAATTGATTTAAAGAATACATAACTGAAACATATTCCATTAAATTTTTTTTAATAAAAATACATTTTAACTTTAAATACTTACCTATATCTATATGGTATATTGTTTATCTACTAGGATACATGGATCACGTACTGCTATATTTTTGCGTCGGTACTAATTATATTATTGAATATTCGGTTTTTCTATGTATTTCTAGTGTAATCGTACAAACGCACATTGTTGCATTGATTTAAATGTAAATAAAAAATAAAATAATAATACTGGCAAATTTATATTTATTTAACACCCGCAAGAAATATGTACTTATCTTTGTGGTCATACTAAGGGTGGGCAAAATAATGAATTCCCGAAATGCTACTTTGCCTACGGGCTAAAGTTGCTAAATTGCGGATAAAATATCAAATAAAATTGGCTTTAAACTCCTTTTAAATTGTATTGGTTCTTTAATTCTTCATAATTCGTTCTTGCGGTAGTTGACAAAAATATTGTGTGCGACTATTGGTCGAAAGTGAAAATTCCACTCGCGAATAGTGCAATTTATGGTCTTATTTCTCAAACATCAATCAGGCAATATGAGTGTGCTTATAAAGATTTTATGAATAAGGTGACTTTTCCTACTTAAATATATATCCTATAGGAACAATATTTTAGGTGCTACTAGCAACGGATGTAAAAGACTTTTAGACATAAAACAGTTGTTTTGACACTTTTAATGACAGTTTTCGAAAAATACATTTTTCAACGCCGTTTAATGCATTTTTTATAAATAACCAGACCTGTGCGCACGGGGGGTTTTGGGGGTTCAAACCCCCCCAGGAGGGTGCAAAATTTCATGATAATTATATAAATATCAAAATATCGGATATCGGACATGTTGATATTTATTTATTTTATGTTTTTTGGTCCAAAATTAACCAGAATAATAATGGTTTTTTATATATTAATTTAAAAAACTAAACAAAACACTTAAAAACCACAAAAATTTAAACAACAAAAAAATTAATTATTTTCAATTCTCAAATTTTAAGTTTTGTTTTTTGATCCTTTTAAACGTCCTTTTCCACGTTTCAAAAAAATATACAAATATGTAGAAAGACATAGGTATTAATACTAGTTCAAAAGTCAAATTATTATTAAACTCTGTACAGAATTATGCTAAAATGTCATCGTTTGAGTTAAACCTAACCTAAAAATGATGTGAAAGAATCTTAGGAAATAATTTAATTAAATGCTTGAAGATGGAAAAATCTTCACTTTCCCCCACTAGTCTCACAATATACTATTATTTATGTCATAAGTGAATATTTTTGTGCTGAGCTCAAAGTTTGAAGTCCGACGCATTAGCGGAGGCCTATAATTGAGCAAAGCACAAAAAGACAATTTTCAGCCGAATGGCATACAACATTTTATCAACAGTTTTATTTGTTAAAGGATACATAAAACGTACAATTATAATAACAATTATTAAAAGTATAAAGTGGGGTTAGATATCTTCAGATTTGTCACAGGTATCAAACTTTTTGATTGGTCCTAACCACAGACCTACCTGTAGGTCTGTGGTCCTAACGGATTAATGTAAAAACCTTCACATAATTGGTCTAAATTATTTTTACAGCATAGGACATAATCTAATACTTTGGTAGTGAGCGTTGACAATAATAAAGCTTAAATTATAGAACGCTTAAAGAAAATTAATGCAATAAGTTTCAAAATAATATCGATTGTGCTACATATTGCATTGCGTTTTTAACAAATTTTATTTTCAATTTACCACAAATAAATAAAAAATATTTTTTAGTAACCAGAGTGATAATCAAAAAGTCACTGTTATAAAACGCTGTAAAAAAAAATATTTTTCTTGAAAAATCATATTTAAATTTTTTTAACAATATTAAAAAAAAACTAGTTGAATAAATCTATACATTTTTCTATATAAAGCTAGGAAGCCTGGAAGATTTCATTTATAGGAACTTGACAAACTTGTAATTTAGGTAGCGCCGATAGGAACTGATTGTACAATTTAAATCAGTTCTCGGCAACTTCCCTTCGAATCCTGATGGCTACAGCAGGCGTAAAATTATTCAGCTTGCCCCGGAATTGATAAGAGTTTCAGCCTCCAAAGCTTTAAAATACACACACACCCACTGCACCGCACAATCCCGATGCATATTTAAATTGAGGCTGCGCTATCGGCAATCAAAAAAATTATCAGATGCATAGTTATGTCAGAATAATTCAAACTGAGTTTAACTGCTTCAGACAACTTTCAAGAATGTTTTAGAAGAAATGTAGTTCATTTTTTACTAAACTATTTACAGTTTCTTCAATAAAATACAGCCTTTTTAATATTCTGATGGAAATAATAAAAATATTATTAGTATTATTAAGTATAAATTTTAAACAAATAAATGATAAAAATAAAGAAATTAAAAGTAATAAAGATTTGTATCTTTTCCTAAAAATGTCAAAACCGGTAAACTACCTGAACCGACTTGGTTTTCTTAGCTTGAATTCTTTAAAATAATTTAATTCTGTCACTTATTTAAATATCTTAAATCATTGAAATAGCAAGTTAAGATTGGGCTTTTCTTTCTCAGAGAATTTCTAAATTTAGATTTTTTTAAAACTGTGATATAAGAAATACACATGTATACTTGTTGGGATGTTTAAAATTAATTAACATTTAATGGCATTTTCTTAAGCAGGAATGTAAAATAAAACACAAATTTAATATAGTCTCTGTTAATATTTTAATTAGGACAATCATAATAATTATATCTATAATACATTCAATCTATATACAAACAGATAAAATAATGTACAACTTTTAGGCTAGAGCCAACAAAAATAATGTTAGTTATATAATAATAATAATAATCATTGATATGGTATTTTTTATACACAACAATTCGTCGTTTATCTGACAAAGAGGCGTATCTCATTTTTAAACAAAACGGTGTGAATTGAATTACGCCAGTTTGTACCGCACACAAAATGCAAAAATATTAGTTACGCCGAAACTGCTTTATGCTAAAACTTTATTTGTACCTATTTATTATAGAGCTACGCCAGTTTGTGAGACTATAAAGTCGATTTTGGTGATCATTCTGGTATAACTCAAAAACGAATTTTTTTGAGTTACGCCTCTTTGTCAGATAAACGACGAATTCTTCTAATCAATTAAAAAAGTAACAATAAAAAGTGATTTCAGAAATACACTAGTTTGACTTGTGACTTTTCACAATAAATTACAAACATTGCAATGTTGCCCCTTAAAAACAACACTATTGCAGCATTTCATACAAAACTAACTTTTAAGTACACCTGATTGCTGATTTTTCGTTTTGTTCAATAAAAAATATTTTTTTTTAATTACTCTTGCATTTAATGCTACAACATGACAATATTGTACAAAAACCTCAATCAACATTGGTCTGTGCCCTGCAATTTCTTCTAGATTTAAAAGAAACTACCTCTAAAATAAGAGCAAGTCCCATTTCCAAAAAAGTGTTTCGACGAATTCGTTTTCTCCTTTTTGTTTATCACAGATATAAATAAATGCATTTACACAAATATACAACAGATTGTAGTAATCGATCGTTTCTGATTCACTCACACACACTCATATCTAAGTTTACTGCACATTGCCCGCATTGCATCTTTTGTTTTGTAGTCTCTCCAATCGTTCAACATTAACTGAAAAACAAAAATTATTATTATTATTAATACTGGTTCTTAAATAAATAATCAGTGTTAATAAATTAAACTTAAAAAAAGCTGATGTGTTAATCTTAATTCGTACATTATGTCACAATATATTCAAATGCCCATTCGATAACATCTCAAGTCAGTTCGAAAACACTTAACCAAAAATCTATTAAAACGCGACGTCACTGCCTATTCGAAGGGTGTGTATTGATTTAAAACAATGGGCAATCAGCGAACGACGCATCCGATTGAGTAACCCATGGATGAGAGGCAGTTAGTGATGCAGTGGGTCCATTCACCGATCACAATCTAGGTTCATTTGTCAATGTCAACAGAGGTGCCGATAGTAAACCTCATTCAGTTTTCTCGCGCTTGTTTTTTTACTTCGTTTGGTTGGTGTGTGGGTTTCTTTCGTCGAGATCGTCTCGGGCCTTAGACAGGGACGGTTCGAAAGTTTAAAACGACTGGTTTTTGAATTAGACATTTTACGACCTAAGGTCACTATTATATCACATTGCACCATAGGAATGATATTTTTTTGAAATTTTGAAAGCAGAAAGTAGGGTTTGTGTCAGAAAAATATCATTAAAGATGATATCGTTACAAAATACTGTATTACTTAAATTGATATTAATTTAATGCTTGCGGGTGTTGGATTATTAACTTAGACCGGTTCTGACAAAACTTACCTATAAAGTGGACGAATGGCCGACGTTTTATTTTGTTCGTTTAAGAAGTAGATTCAAACCGGTGACACAAACCCTCCGTTCATACTCTGTGAGCTGTAAACATAAAGAAAAAACTGGAATTAGTGCCAGGGAAAATTAGATAAGGCTTTAATTATTGAAACCGGATATCGACGAGAAAACAAAAAAAGAGACAAATGGCTAGCCGTGGACATTTTTAACACCGGCCCGAGCAGGTAAATTAAGGAAGAAACAGCTTTAAGACAAAGGGGATTAATTTTTGAAATAAACAAACTATAGAACCTTATAAAGTCTTCTTTTAGAACCAAATTGTTAAGTGGTTACTAGATTTCACTTTTAAAGCAATAATTTTAGTATTACGTCCCAATAAAACAAAAGTAATAAATTCGCCAAATTGTACAAAAAACAATTTATGATATTAATGGTTTTTACGTTTTAGAAAAGTAATCATATTAAATGCATGAAAACAATTCCAAACATTATAAATATGTTGCTCTATAAATAATACATTGGATTCTCGTTTTGCTCGTTTTAAGGCGACATTATATTTATTCCGATTATTTGTGGGATTTAAGTTATTTCAAAATTAAATATAAATAGATTTTATGGTGATACGTCGAAGAAATATTACTTCTTGAATAACTCAAATGGTTTTTTAATTTTAAAATAGTCTTACCTTTTGTAAAAGGGTTTAAAAGCTGCATTTTCACTGCTGGGTGCGGACATCTGATTTCCCTGTGGAGGTGGTGGCCTTTGCGGGCTCTGCAACCTTCCAAAACCCGAAAGGAACCCACTCTGCGAATAGCCAGTGCTCGCCGACGAGTTTCCTATGCAAGGTCCTTGTCCAGGCATGAGATTGCCAGCCACGCTGGGCAACTTCATACTAGGTGGCGTTTGTGGTGGCGTATCAGTCTGGACGTCCGGAAACCCCTGCTGACAATGACTAGGCAAAAAACCGCTTCCACCGTATCGAGAACTGGGCAAAGCAAAACCGTTGCTACCGAGCCACTGCTGATTCTGAGAAGGTGGTGGCGGGGGCGGCGTCTTGCATGCTGCCGTATCCGCAAGCGACCAGATTTTTGGTTTTGATGGTGGTAGAGGTACTCCGCAATCTGATGTCTTCATTTCGGGTTTTAATCCGAAACCGTTACCCAGGATATGGTGCATGTTTCCACCGAGGAGATCGTCCTTTCTATCCTCGTCGGTCATGTCGTCGTCATCGAGATCTTTGCCATTTCTTTCGGATTTTATTCTTCCATGTATATCTGAAATAAACAACACAATTAAAAATGTATCTTTAACTGTTCATTATAATATTTACACTCCCTAACTTAAAATTCCCCGTCAACATTAAATAAAAGAGATCTCTATTTAGGACTTAAATTTTTAATTCGCCTTAATAGTCGACAATGGACGAGGGTGCTGCTGACTTCTCCCTCAATCGTATCGTCATGATGAGTCTTTCTCAGCCACCCCAGCAATGAAACGCATCCACCCTCGACCCTAATTCACTTACAGGGTTACGGTCTTTAATTTCAATTAACTCAATTTTATTTATATCTAGTTTAACGCAATGTTGACTACGGATTATAAGGATCATCGCACTGGAAACATAAAACAATCCCTACCTGTTTCATCTCTTTTGTCGTCATCATCTTTGTCTTTTTCGTCACTGTCTGACACAAGAGCATCATCATCGTCGTCGGTTTTATTTTTTGGCTCCCAGGTCATCTTGTTTTCTTTTTTTAATCGTCTTCTAGCATTTGCGAACCACGTTGATACTTGTGTCAGCGTCATTTTTGTAATGATCGCCAACATGATCTTCTCGCCCTTTGTAGGATACGGATTTTTCTTGTGTTCGTTTAGCCATGCTTTTAAAGTCGCCGTTGACTCCCTGGTGGCATTTTTTCTCCTAGCTGCTAGGTCGTAACCTGCTCCATAACTGAAAAAAGATTTAAATTAATATAAAAAATGAACACAAACTTAACTTGGTTTAAATATATGGTATGAACAATCGAGTATTAAATTTCTATACCTAAATACGCTGTGTTATAGTAAAGCAAAAAGGGTAATATGTTTTGATTTTCGTGTGTAAAACGCGTGTCTAATACGGCTCTTTGAAATGCGTCACGTCATTCTATGGTAACGTAAGTTAATATGTCGGTGGGTTGTTAAGGAATTTAGCGAGTCCGTAAATCACAAACGGGATTATGTAGTTTAGTTTGTGGTTTAATGACATGAATATTTATTCAAAACTGTTTTGCCAAAAGGATATTTTTAATGTTAATGATTCCATTAATAAAGTTTATTCGAAAATACCAGTGAAATAAATTAAAGTTTAATTTTTTTCTTGATTACTTTTATTAAATATTTTTTTCTAGCCCTAGCCGTTTTTTCTTTCGGAGAATAGCCGACTGTAAATAAAAGCCACTATGTGAGTCTAACAAAATTTATGTGTATGCTACAAGAAATGGTCCATGCTCGCTCAGCGGAAGTGTATCAATAATGTGTGGAAATCGGGGGAAATTTTATTTTTTCCGTTTTATTGACGTCGGTGTGCCGCCTTTCCCTTGTCTAGCTGGGAAAAAGTAGCGCGCTTAATAGGGGTGAAACCACTCTAGCCGTAATCAAATCCCGCTCACTCAGGCTTTAGGGTTGTGGGGGACCTCCAGACGATGGAGACCGGGGAGAAAAGAGAACTCAGCAGCATCAATCTGACAGGCAGCACAAAGAATCCAGCCTCCTAACTAATTCTACAAGTTTCGCCAGGAAATCGATGCCTTTATGTTGCGATAAAATCGCTTCGCACCTCGCTCTACACCCATTGTTAACTTAAAAAGTCACTTTGCCACAACAGCAGTTTAATAAAAAAATACCCAAAAACTTTTGCGCCAAAGAATAATCAGCAAGAACGAGTTTTGTTGAAAAGTGGAATTTTTAGACCATGTTTGGTAACCCTCTTTTTGGGGTTTTCAATAGGAGTATCAGAACTTTAAATTGTGAAATATTGATAACTAATAGTAATGATCCATTATTTTTAATAAATAAAAAAAATATTGAAATATAAAAGGTATTAAGTATTAAAAGTGTTTTATTTAATTTTTGTTGAAAATTTGCGGAAACAATAACGTCAATTTGTAATGGCAGAATCGGACAGCAGTCGATATAAACGCCGCGGCGTCGTTCAGCAGGAGAAAGAGAGAAAATGTAGAGAGGAAAATTTATCCGTAAATCGTGAAATAAGCGGAACCGATTTTATCGACAATAAATACAAATGGTGCATTGCGATGGCAGCCGTCGACGGCCGTGGCACCTGCGTCGCGTCGCCACAAACACGGCGCCGCCAATCAATATCCGCGTTCCCCGCGCAGCCATTTTGTCTTGGTCGTAGCCGCCGCCGCCGCCGCTGGCTCCGGGTATGCTCGGAATTAGCCGCAACTAAGCTCCTACCCGATCCGTCGCTACGCGTACATTTCTTCCGCCTCTCTTCTTCACCGATTTATGACTTAATAAATCCTCGCCCAAATATTTACTTTACCAATTAGAGCAAGACACCAAGTTAACATTTTCTTACTTAGTTTTTTCATGCCTGGTTTTTACAATGTTACGATTAATTGTAAGATTAGGCAAATATTGTATAAACCATGCATCAATTTCAATATATAAATTATCTATGTTTTAAACAGGGATTTTAATTTAAATTTTTCTTTTTCTTTTATCTACTTTGAAGTGGTAAAACAGCATGGCAACAAATAAGCGCTAGGTGGATCATGGTATAGTGCAGAAACAAGAATTATTTACCTAAAGGCAGCACGCAATTATTTCAGGGATTGGCGACAATAGTAAAGTAGAACATAACACAACAGGAAGGGAACAGACCGGCATGTCCGCTGATGTATCGCACGTTATCCAGACTCGATCTGTGTGCATTTTTTTCTGTAATCGTGTGCAAGTAAAGCGCTCGCGTTCATATGCCGTGAGTGCATGAGCGCGACAATCGCTGTCATTTCAGTCACGACATTATGCGGAAGCAATTGTGTAATATTTTTAATTAAAATTAACGAGGGATGCCTGACAACATACGTTCTAACGATATTCCCAATGAGAGAAAATGCATTTATTCTGTTAATATTAAACATTATTTACTTGATAAAAATACTACTTACCCATAAGCAGCCAACGCAGGATCGTAAGGATAATAACCAGTAGTGGGTTGTAAGCCAGCACTTGTCCAAGCTGACATATCGGTTGGACCACCAGCATCTTTTAAGGCGTAAGGATTGCCCTGAAAATAAAAATAAAAATAAGTAAATAAATAATTAGGATTGCATCCTGCATTAGCAACAAGTGTTTTATGTAAAAATGCGAATTTATTCGGAGGCCGGAAGAAGAACAGTATCAATTGAATGTTTACTGTGTACGATAATGACGGTAATTCAGTCGGCGGCGGTTAGAAATGGGTTTTTTATGGAAGGCAGTAAAGGCAGCAGGCGCGAAAGAAGCCATCCATCTTCCGAGGCTATCCCGTAGGGCATCCGCCCCTCTAAATGCGGCTGTGGCGGCAGCGGCGGCTCTCCTCTTCTTTACAAAGAAAGATTTACGCTCCCGGAATAAATACAAGGAGAGAGAGGAGGAAGGACCGCCGATACGTGGATCCCCCTCGACACTTATATAAAGTGGATTTTGAAATCATATCTATCGGAACCAAGGGCGGCCAGATTGCAGCGCTTTTCAATGAACACACCCTTTTGACTCACTTAACGCCTACCCCAATTATTTCGATATGATACGAAAAGGGGTCGCTCGCCTAACCCCGACAGCTGTTGCGAATAAAAATATTACGGCAGATTTTATCTTGCCTTTTATTAAATATGACGTTAAGTTTAATGAAATGATCCTATCAAATAACAGTTTTCATTCGAGATAACGTTGTTCCAAAACAAACACGATTTATTATGAATCTTTTATCCTTAAAACCATCTACAATAGGATACATCTAATTGAAAATTACACCATTTATCTATCTTTGTTCGCTAAATAATGTATAAACACATAAAAATAATGTCGATTTCTTTAAACAGTTATAACCACGTTATAAATATCGTCAAAATAAAAACTTAAGTGTCTGTAAACCAAATCAAATAACACTCGACTACAATAAAAACCAGATCGACGGCATCTTGGGACGAAATAAATAAAAGATTGAAGTGAAACGGGTAAAAAACGCGCTCTCTATAACACCTAAGATATTCATTTTTTGCTCGATCGCTCGGAGGTATCTTGAAGACAGCGACACATTGATATAAAGTGTGAATATTGAATGGCTCTGAATTATTCAAAGCCAAGTGATATATTAGATTTTTCGTAAAGTAAATGGAGGCTATTGAAACAGGATATTTTTTTGTGTCGCGTATATTTAAGTATTTTAATAATTTCTTAGTTTTAAGGTGGTTACTTTTGAATTTATTCTTGATGAAGAATGTGGTGGGACCCCTGCACGGAGACGTTGTCCAGCCCCGTGGAGTTCGCACGACAGTAAGAAGGATCGATCATTTACGGGTTGCCAACTTTGCAGTTACAAAATTCCACATTATTTTAATAAAACCTGATTTGTAAATTTAATGTAAGTAGTGGTTTTTAAGAAAAACTGCATGGTTAAAATAAAAATAAAATCGTTTTATGGCATATTTAATACAGATTAACACTGTTATGGATAATTACCCAATTAGTTACCAAGTTATCAGATCCCTGCAGTTGTTTTGCAAACATTAAATTTGAATGTTGAACATTATTAACAATATTTATTCGATCGGCAAATGTTTCACTTAGCATACTTATCTGGTAGATTATTTTGGTAGATACCGAATTACATGTTAAAATAGCTTTATAAAACATTCACAAGAAACCGGTCGTACAGTTAAATTTAATATTTTATAATCGAGCGAATTCAATTAATTTCCTGCATTTACTGGGCAATTTAAGCTTGTTTCGATAATAAAATAAACGGCTGTTAACAGAGAAAAGTATAAAAATCTCCTGTTGTTTTATGGATTCATTACAAGACCAGTTTGGCATTCTGCGACCACTGCAGAGTTTGGAGAAAAGGCAAAAAATGCATTCGTGGCGTCGACAGCTTTTTACGCTGCATTAAACAGTTGCCTGCATTACCGATACTATCTGCACTACAGAACCTTATTATGCGACGATCTCGTTTACACCAACTTTTTTATTTCCTTTAATTATTACTTTAAACCGCATTATTATGGACAATTCGCAATATCAACAATTACTTTAACAAGGCCAATTATACAATATTTAAAAAAAGAGGTTTTGCATCCTGTTATCATAAACAAAATTGGATAAATAAAAGTCTTATTGTAAAAAATAATCTGATCAGACTTAATAATTTAAAATATGTTAAAATAGTTACTAGCAAATGTAGTTATAACTATAACTATAACTATAGGTATAACTATAGAACTTATCTTTAATCTAAAGTCGATAAACACGAAGCAATGACGTTTTTTCGAAGTAATTATAAATGCGCCTATCATTTTTTGCACAGGATATAATATGTTCGTGCCCGTATTATTATAGTAATTTAATAAAAATAAACAAATAAAAGGCCACTTTGATTAGCAGTATTGTGCATGCCGGGACACTTTTAACAACCAAGTTTACTTCTGTTATTTAATAAGTTGCGTGCCATGAAACGAACTTATTATACTTATTATTTAGTGTGTCCAGAGACCGTAACGTTCAACCATTTTGATACTTTATACCGCGACTATTTTGCGGTGATAATTTCCATTGTAAAATCTAAATTTGTGTAACCGATTTCCACCATTTTGAAATCGTATTGTTTACTATGATATCGCCTTCATATGCCGACAAAAAGCAAAAAATCAATCACAGATAATCTGTTTAAACATTGATATCAGCTGAGTTAAAACCAGCTGAACTGACGACGAACAAATATTAAAAAAATTTGTCATTTTCAAAAATGGCCTGTTATCGAGTCTGTTAGACTTTGTATAAACATGCACTGATTTCGGCGTTTTTGTATTGACAGGCCATCATTTTATGATATTTGAATAGTAGAGCCTGTTAAAACAATAATGATTAACACAAGTGATTACGAAAATTGTTTCTAATATTTAATCTCATTCATTTTAACAAAATTTTATTTATTCACTACAAATGATGCCGCCACTTAAACGAAACCAAAAACAAACCAAATTTACATGTTTATCTTTTAAATCATTCTTTTTTCCAAATTAAATCCACCAGGTGTTGTTGGTGTGGTGTGAAGTTGGTCTACGGAGATGGAAAAAATCTCATCCTATTAGTTTTGAATCTTTCAGAGTCTCTGAACGTGCAAGGGCATTAGCATAAATATGCAGCATCAGACACCTTTTCAGCAAACCTTAAGAGGTATTGATTCTTCTGCACACAAGAGACAATTTCGACAAAATATACGGCCGTAGTTTTGAAAACGTCTGGGAACAATGTTTAGGGTACACAAATTGAATCTCTATAGATTGCTATTGTTGTTTTTTCTCAATATAAATTGATTTAAATAGTTATTATAAAATACACTTAAAGTATCGTGATGCACATTTCTTATGATGGAAAAACAAATCTGCGCGTTTAGCGAAAAATTCCCATCTCATTAGTTTTGAATCTTTTAGGTCTGTCGAAGGCTATCGGCATTACCATAAATATGCGGCACTAAACACCTCTAGCAGCAACCTGAAATCTAAAGTAGTATCGATTATTCTTTACACGACTAGCGCCCCGTTTCCACGTAGCACATTCTCGATTTTAAAAGCAGAAAACTCTACGCCGTAAACTTACTTCAATTTCCCTATATGTGCACTGAAAACAACAAGTACAAATTGCAACGTGTAACCTTAAACGTAAACTTCAATTTATGCGGAACATTTCTGCTGCTGCCGTCGCCGCTCTGTGCTTTTTGTTTTTAACGCGGCAATCTAATTCGATTAAAACAAACATCACAATAGAAAGTCGGCCATGAGTCTATAAAAAGGCAAAAATGACACATCTACAAATTGATTCTAATTCCGCACAATTTATGGAATCTGCTTGACCTACTCGGCTGGACTTCTGTGCGATCAATTGAACATAACAGAAATACACAATTAGTTCGTTAATTGACGAAAATTACAATTCTCGTGGAAAATATTTAAAAATCGATTTAATTCATTTAAATTAAAAAAAAAATGAAAAATAAATCAGCATTTACAAATGTTTAAATCACAAAAGATAAGACAAGAGAGTATACTCTATAGCTTTCTAATGGGGTCCGACACGTGTATTCTATTAAAAAATCGTGTAATTTGTTCCACATAAAATTATAATCTCACATGAAATAGATAAGTTCTATTGGCATATCATTCTGGTTGAAATCATTAATTCGAAATTTTTATTAGACAATCCCATCAAAATTTGTTAAACAAGATTTTTGTGTAAATAAACTCGCCTAGAACATTAAAGTTTTAAGGTAATCTTATTTGGAACTCATTAATGGTTTTGTTAGCTAATAAAACTTGATGGAGATTTTCTTGACGTTTCTTGATTTAATGATGTTTTTCATCGTATTTTTATGTGGACTCCAGCTTGACAATTGTGAAGATTACTTGATTTGTTGGTCGTTATTTCAGTAGTTTTATTTTGGGATTTGGACAATTAAAATTCCGCACGAGAATCTATTTTAGGCCATGAAGAAAGAGTGATATCTAATGTTTCATGTAACATACGAACATAAAACTTTATTCTTGGAAGTAATATCGTGTTTTTTCAAAGAGATCAAAATTTTATCATAACAATACAGCAGCAAGCCCAAGAAATTAGAAAAACAGATGTTTTTGTATAAATCAGACGGGTTTGCCGAGAATAAAATAAATAAGTGTGAAACTACCATAAAGCTCCACGCTAAAAAACTAGACACCCAATGAAATCAGCAGTAACTAATTATACGAGTTGTAAAGTGTTGGGACGACAGTCAGGACGAGAAAAAAAGAATGTAAGGTTTAACACTGCGGCTCTTTGTGAGGTTGCCCAAAAGGAATGTAGATATTGAATTTTTATTGTCGCGCAGTGTTTTATAACAATAGCACGGCTTTTTTGCTGATGCCGCAGCACAATATCTCACCCGACTGACTATTAGAAGTGATACATGATCGGAGTTTATAAGCTACTACGTTCCTGGTGTTTTGTATTTGCTAAATATCGTCATGTATTCCTGGGCTTTTTTTCGATAGCAATCATTCTATGCAGCATTTCGATGTTAATATCGACTTTGCATTACAATAGAAATTGTTCGGGGTATGTGCGGATTTTATTTTCTTTATTGGCGCTAAACATTTCAGGAATTTTATGCTCAGGCTTCGTCTACTCTTCGAATATCTTTGAATTTACAGTGTAGGTAGCAAAAAATTACAATGGAAAGAAAATTATAAATTCGTGAACGTGATAGAATCTTTAATTATAAAAATAAGAATGATGTGGAAAGTTTTTATTCAAAATTTTTTAATTAATGAATTCGGACTTTAAAATCCATTAAAACAAAACTATTTGGTGATGAACATAAATGATAGTTCTAGTATATAAATTCACATTGAAGAGCTTCGATAAATTATGCAAGCATTTAGTTCCTTGAATAAATTATTTGCTATAAAACAAATACCAATATAGGAAAGTAGAATGGAAGAATATATCATCGGGAGTCAAATGTGGGTATGTATTGATGCTAATTGCAGAGTAGCTACTACAGTGTCTCCAGTAAATCAAGAGTGTCCTGAGAAAATTAATCGCCTGCTTTAATTAACAATAAATAATATCAATTAATTACTTTCGTATTAGAAATGGGCGAAAATCGCCATGATTTAATAATACGTTAAGTAATTAAACTAGCTAAAGTAGTGGTGGAATTTTTAATCATTTTTAATGGCGAACTCATGAGAGCCGGAATGAATTATTACTTGCGTAATTAAAAAGTATTTATAATTTAATTTTTTAACAAACTCCGGGTCTTATCTGACACTTGTCAAACAAGTAACCGACAGTTAAATATGAACTAATTTAAAATTGCCGACCGAGATAAGGAACTAACCGGAAACAGCTTGAACCCACTAAAAGTTTACGTAGAACCCCATAACATTTAACGCGACCGTATACCATAACACCAAAGAGAAAGAAACCTAATAAAAGCTAACGTAAACAGCCCCACCCACCGTTCTAATATCGAATCAGGCAATTTTGGTTGGCCAAAACGGCCCTTTTCCTCGTTTTATAGATGGGATGATAACGCTATCCATGTAATCAACCCGGCTATGCCACTAATGATCGACCTGCTGCGTTTTAGACGACTTATTAAACCATCATTTTCATACACTTAAAACGCAGTTTTACATTCAATTTAATTTAAAATAACCTCTGTTCTTAACTATATCATATGTTCTATTATCCTCTTTAAAATCTCCAAATAATTTCCTCTTGATATCCCTTTGTGTATATTTTTAAGACCCATAGAATTTAAGACCAATAAATTATATTTAATGTGGTTGTTTATTGATAATACCTAGGTATATATAAAATATTATTAAGTTTTGGTTAATGATATTTGATTTATGTCAACGTTAAACACGAACGCGACCATAAAACTATATTATTCTCAAATTTTACGTTTGGATTGAGCAGGTCGCGAAAATGGGTCCAAATAGGAGCCTTGAAAGACACAGAATAATACAGAAGCATGATTTTAATTATCTAATTTAAATCCGATTTAAATTTAACATTCTAGTTCCTTGTGTTGTCTCCCACACCTTTAACTGGTCCATTATTATCCATTAATGCTGCAACCAAACTAGATGTTCGAAGCCCACGTTTGCAACTATTAACACTATCTACCAGGCTTCTTAAAATTAATTGATTGTGTGCCTTATGTTAATAAACTGCCATGAGTATTTAGTATTGTCAAACTTAATTTGCATACCTACAATACTAATGTTCATCTGAAAGCATTATGTCAAAAGCAAGTACCTACATAGTTTAAATAAAAAAAGATGTAATAAGTTATTTAAATATATAAATCAGGGTTTGGTTAATGGTTTAGTATCTGACTTAAGTAAAGAAACCTTGTGCTTATCACAAATTTGCCTTTCATCATATTTCGCCACCTTGAAGCCCCACCTAATATCTCAATACTCGATTAACTTTATTACTTACAATTTAATTGAATAGTACTAATTACATATTAATAAACACATACATATATAATCTAATTATAAATAACTTATTTAAAATATGTGTAATTATTGTATGTGTTAATTAAAAAATAAAAATACAAATGATTTACAATGTTTACATGGTGTATTTGAATTTTTATATATTTTTTAAATACAGTTTAAATGTTAGGTTTGTGATTCAAAATCATTATTAGGAAAAGGACAAAGGAAGAGTTTAGTTTAATTTGATATTAAAATAATAATCGATCCACACAAATTTTTGATAAATTTCAATCGCAAATAACTTTTTTATTTGATTTCGGATTTAAACGAATATCAAAGAATATTGTAGATAAATTAATGGACAATCGCTCACATTTTAAAAAAATACTAAAAAATAGACGTACGTTTATAATATACAGGTTTAAACAAAAATATGTGTTTTACCATAAGTTTAAGACACTCTGTAGAGTGGCAAAACCGTATATTGTTCTAAATTAAGTTTTATTTATCAAGTCACATCTATTCTTAACAGTTCACAGTTTGGTTCACCTCGATATATTTATTTTTGTGGAAAATATGTTTTTTTTTTTAAAACATTGCAATTTCCAATATTTTTCTGTATGAATTCTTAAGAACTAAGGTTGCTATGATCCATCCATAGGCTATGGAGAATGACAGTGACAGTTTTGTTAAATCATCTTATACTTGGACATGTCATGCACGGCTTTCAAAAGCTATCAAATTTTTTTTTGCAAATTAATGTTTAAATTTTGAGGTGTCTTCTTACTTTATAAAATGGATATGTCTCCGACTGATGTTGCCAGAGCTATTAATTTAATCCAGGATGGACGGTCACAGTATTACGTGGCAGGTGTTTTAAACGTCATAAGAAGTAAAGTACAAAGGGCAACATCAGTCGGAGACATTTTTAAAAGTAAGAAGAAACCTCAAAATTAACACATTAATTTACAAAAAACAATTTGATAGCTTTTGAAAGCTGTATATGACATGTCCAAGTATGGAATGATTCAACAAAACTGCCACTGTCATTCTCCATAGGCTATGGATGGACCATAGCAACCTTAGTTCTTCATACAGGAAAAATATTGGAAATTGCAATGTTTTTTAAAAAAATCCATATTTTTCACAAAAATAAATATATCGAGGTGAACCAAAAACAAAACTGTTAAGAATAGATGTGACTTGATAAATAAAACTTAATTTAGAACAATATACGGTTTTGCCACTCTACAGAGTGTCTTAAACTTATGGTAAAAAACATCTTTTTGTTTAAACCTGTAACGTACGTCTATTTTTTAGTATTTTTTTTAAATGTGAGCGATTGTCCATTAATTTATCTACAATATTCTTTAATATTTGTTTAAATCCGACATCAAGTAAAAAAGTTATTTGCGATTGAAATTCATCGAAAATTTGTGTGGATCGATTATTTTGCACGTGAGTGTATATCAGAAATTTGGTGTTAACAATATTTATTGGATAATATTAAATGATTTTTAAAATGTACTTTTTTAATAAACTTCAAAAGTTAATTATGCCATTAAATTGTTTTAGATTATTATCAAAAATGATTGTGTTTTTGACTGTTGTCATCTTTGATTTATTAATTTTAATACATTTCGATTAGTAGTCAGTAACTGTCCTCAGGTGATAATGGTACAATATTTTGTAACTTTTGCTTATATACTGCCCTATAATACCTAATTGTTATTGTTTTTAACAATTAAAATCCTTTATTAATTAATATTGTAGAGCGGCAGTATTGCTTAGCAGGGCAGTATACTAGTTTTGTTTATTGAGACAAAACTTCCGCTACCCTTATCACAGTTAATCATATCAACTTTATCTACGCACATAAAATCTACAACAAATATGATTGTTTGAAAAATATTGGATAGCCTGGTACAAAATTAGACCCTCGCGGCACACCATAGAGTTTACATCACACCAGAGACAATACAAGATAAAATATGAATAAAAGTACTTACCAGAGGCGAATAAAATGCGGAACTTTCGACCCCTATGCTTGGATAGGGGTTTTGGTCGGTGGAAGGGTAAGGGGTGCCGTACATTCCGACACTCCTAGGGTACTGTAGCGCGGCCAGCCTGGCAGAGTCGTATTGACAAGAACAAACACTTTGTCCGGTCACAGGGTCCGTTACGAGGGGTCTTCCGGACTCGCAACACTGGGTTTGTCCGGTGCTGGAGGTGCCTCCAGGTGATAGGGCTCCGGGCAGGCCGGCGGAACCTCCGGGGCTTAGAGAGCCGCCTCCGGAGACAGGGGACGAGCCTGAGTTTGTTGTTGGTTGCCCCGATACTAGTAACTGTAAAAATTATTAATTGTTATTTTGGTTATTTAGACAAGTGCTTTTTTATTATTTTAATTTTAGGTGTGTGCATAATTTATTAGTTGTATTGTTTTTAATTTGTTATCAACGCAAGGGTATAATTATTTAACGATAAGAACATTTTATGTGCAAAAATAACATATGTTTTAATTATGGTATCGTCTTATTATCTTGTGCATTTTTAACAATTTTGCGATAATTTCATATTTTAACAAGCATATACATAAATTATGAAAATAATTAGTCAGGTAATGTTATTTGTTATTTTTATGAAAATTCCTTGACACGGTATATATTAAAATATTTAGTTAAATATGTTGGACAAATTTTAATTAGCACGAGCAGATGTTAAGTTTAATTAATTATAAAACAGTAGGTAAAACTGGGGTTGAGCATAAATATTTACTACATTATTATTTATGCTATAAATCAGAGAAATATATTTATTTGTATTACTAAACTATATTAATTGATAATCCCATTTAATTGTTTGTTAAAAAAATTTTTACAAGGTTTTCCTACTCAAAATGGACAACGTAATAGAGGTTGTAGATATCATTCAGACACTTTTTTCAAATAAATATTTAAGTTTTTGTTTTTTAAAATTATCAACCTTGTTTTGGTTTTATAGAAACCCCTGTATTTTTGTTGGATGATGTTTGTTAAAAAGTTTAACAAAAAATTATAGATATTAAATTGACAATAATTATTCTATGCTAATAATTCTATTCTAAATATTATTAATGACGAAGATAAAAAGGTTTACCTATGTAAAAACAAAAAAATGTCTATAATTCAAAAATATAAAATGTTTATTTAAAAAAGTGATGAGATCTACAACTTTAATTGTTCATTTTGAGTAGAAACACACTGTATATATTTAATAATAACTGTGAGAATACTTTTTTGGTGATATAATATTTCCTATTTAGAATAACAAAATTGCAATCTAGCAAATAAATCTTTACCACTTTACTCATAAAATATTTTATCATTTAATGACAATATTGTTATCAAAACCCCATTGTTCCACCCATACGCTATTAAGCATAATTTCGAATTAAACTATTTGATATCAACAATATTAATTTTGATACATGGTGGAAACTCAAGAGCAATTTTAATGAAACTGAGTTATGCATATTAACGTTAAATGCTATTATTGTTTGTTTTATAAACAAATTTGTAGCACTCCATGAAGAGGTTGAACATCGAAATCCCATTTCGCTGGAGGTACTCCATCACTGCATGTCACATTATGTTATAATGACTGATAACATCTACGAAACATCTGTTACTTCAATTTCCTACAAATATTATTTGCGTGTAGGCCGAAAATCGCATATTATGTATGATAAATAACCTATAGATTATAGTATAATTTTTGTATTTAGTTTATACATGTGATCTTGGGAAAGCTGAACTTTACACCTGTCATACAATACTCTTGTGAAAAGAAAGTTTTGTTCAAATGATATCAAAGGATGTTGCAATTGCTTAAGTTCATACAAAGTTGCTAATTTACATGCACGAACCATCACGTTAGTACCTACACTTAAAAATTTACCTTGTGATGGATGTAAATCATGTAATTTTTACATGGCTGACCAGCGCAATTAATTGCAAAGTAATAAAATACGAAAGATATTCGCGTAGAGTCAGCAAATTTATGGCGCTTAACATTCATAAATATCTTTGCAACTCATGCTAAATTAAAATGTTACTTTTTGTTGAAAGTATCTTGTCTCGGATCTCTGGGATGATGTATACCAAGATGGAGATATTAAGATATCTGTCTTTTAAAATTTTATAAATTGTACAGGCTGAAGGAACGATAATTTAAGCCTAGCACCTTTACATTTTTAAGTTTTTAAAAACAACATATTAAACATAAAGGAAAATAGATTTACCAATGGTCGGCATTAGTTGAAAGCTCGTATTGATGGATATTACTAAATCAAGAGTGCTTCGCAAATGTTTGCCAGGCCACTTCGATGTTTGCCGAAGCCTCTACGCACGTGAGTCCGATTGGAAATGGCTAATTACCCGTTCGGAACATTTAATGATTTTTCGAACCCTTTTGTTTGTGTTTTGACAGCGGTGCTTTTGAAAGTTATTTTTTACGAAACCGAAGTGCCCACATATGGTGTAGGTAATTAGAAGTGAGTTCCAGTTTATTAGGAATTTACTTTATTTTATGTCAAATAGACTGTTTTAATCCGTTTGAAGAACAGGTCTTGTTTTGAAATTATCTGTGTTTGTACAAGTATTCTGTAAATATTACTTAAGAATTAGCAAATAGTACTGAGGATGAAATGCGTTAAAATATTTAATGCCTTAGAACCATATTTAACTACATCTAAATAGACAAGTAGATAGGTACTACTTATTGAGCAAGTGTACACCTAATAATTTTGGAATTGATGGAAATCTGTACCAAATCCGCAACAAAATAATCCTGATTTGCATAAATAAATAAAAATATCTACTTTATTTATATTCAGTAATCAACGTTCTTGGTTTAAAGTTTTCTTCAAACATCAATACTGAGTATATTTCTATATTTCTGTTTCATAAATTTTTCTATTAGATGTCGAAACGTAAAAAAAGAATCAGTATGAAGATGAGTAACAATTATGTAAGACCAAAATTAATTCGTTTAATTTTATATGAAAATACCTGTATGTTTTAAATTAAATATAATACCTGTGAAGCCGTCGGATAAGAATAGCCGAACTGTGCGTATGCAGCCATTTCACTCACTGTCCCCAGCTTGAAAGATAAACTTGGTCCCGCGAACTCAAAAAAAAAAACGTAAAATCACAAGTCACAAACACAAAAAACGAAATAGTCCTAAAATTAATCCATGCGTGATCACAAAAAATGCACAAACTTCATGTCCCCTGATCGGTACGGATGTTCGATAACAACATGAATGCAAACAGAGTGAAATCGACCTATGCGCCGTGGCGATCAGATAGTAACTGGGGCCTTAAACCAGTCGTGATTGTGATGGTACCACACCACCCCCTCGACCCGCCGTTATGGGCGTGGCCGGCATTCACAACCACTTACTACACGAAAATACTGGAGACTGAGCTCTTTTGGAGGTAGCGATTGGTCCCCCGCCTAGTTTAGGGCCGGGCCAGATCGCTTGGCCCTGCCCAAAGGAGACGGAGTAAGGGGCGACACGCGTGACTATCTTGTTTATGGGGCTCCGAAGATCCGTACAAATCCCACTTCAATGTTACAAAAACTCTAACTGAATTTATTGGATACAAGGTGTTTGTCGAAATGAATCGCTGGCGTCATTTGTATTCTGTTTCGGACGAGCGATGCTCCGCTTTTTACATGAAAATACACTTTGCACCTCGCGCCATTCGATTCTTATTGTCTCCTCGATGTTAAGGGGCAAACGTTGCTGATACGAGAGCAAAGCATATGCTTTCCTTGCTCTTAGATATGTTTATTAAATGGACAAGGCATAAAACTTGAAATGTCGCGATAAAAAACGGTCGAGGTGCTTTGGTGTTCATTCCCTGATATGATACGACCCTTGTTTTTCTATTTTAATATCAAGCTTTTAATGCTACCTAATTGTCTTGTTGTTCATGTTTTTAATCGTCATTTCTTTTAAATACTGATTAAGTAAACAATCAATGTAATTTTAATATTAATTAATATAAGTTTTAAGCATTTGATTTTATGATAACTTAAATCCGGCTCGACGGACCACAAGGAAATTTTTGTAATTTATTGAATTATTTATATTTAATTAGGGTAATAGCCCCAGGAGGATGGACAGTCCAAGATGGACACTCCAATGAAATATACTTATGTTATGCAAAATTTGGCAAATATATTAATGAATCGTTTTCTACTTTTTCATTAATTATTAGGTTTATATATAGTTTTTAAGCATGCGTTTTTTAACTATAGTTAATATATAGTAATATATTAATAATATATAGTAATATATTAATATAAATTATTTTCGATTTTGTCTAAAAAAAACCCTTGGTAAAATTATCAGAGACGATTTAATAAAAGAAACAAGGAAATATAAGAACAAAATATTGTATTATTATATTCTTTTTTTCAAGTTTACTATAATACAAATCCTAATCCCTCCCAGAGATTAGTAAAAAGTTATAGTTTTGTAATATTCGTTTTCGATGTAACATTTTATCCACGAATAAGACCTATGTATGTATATTAAGTACCTACACCAAACAAGCAAGACCATACATAATTGATACCACAAACTTACTTAAACAGCTCAGAATAATATGGACTCATGCAACATTTTTACTTTTTTTAAACAATATTTTATATTAAATAACAAGTTGTTGCATATAAATTTACCACTAAAATACTTTTTGTAAAACAAATAATTTGAAAAAAAAATATTAAGAAAATTAGTATTTACAATCAAATGTACATTTTTTATTCATAACAATTCATTTCCTATTTGCTAATCTTCCGTCTGTTCGTGTCTTGGCTTGTGCAACACGACAGACAATAGACTAGAAAGTAATCTCTTCCTGGGGGACGGACCATACCACCCTCAGTAGACTTTCGTTCAATGCAAAATAAACAACAATACAAGAAACCTATTAGCCTTTTAAAGCCACCACAAATCTCCTTAAATACCGAGTCGTAAAATAGCTGGAAAAACCTCAAATTTAAAGATCTAAGTAATGGCACATTTAGACACCTTCATCTTTGTGATGTAATTGACTTTTGTCATAAAGTTTATGCTCGGGATTTGGATTTAGCGTTGTTAATCCACAGATAATAATTAGGGTGAAGAAGATGATCCACAACTTGGGATTTTTTCCACATTAGGATCTTTAGTTCCTTTTGGAAAAATAATTCTTTTGGCGTTTTTAGACCTCCCATTCGGTCTTGGCACAGGCATTTGGTATTCATGACTCTTAACAAATGAGTTGGTCAAAAACAATCCATTGTTGCCGTTAATAAAACACGCAGTGGTCAATTTAAATTCAATTCCGTGAATTCAATTGTTTTCAATGAATCGTATAGAGTATGTGCATCGTATAAATAAGAAATTACCGACACGCTCGCCAAACTGGTTTCCTATTGGTCGACGAAAAAGAAACAAAAGATTGTTATGGCGATCTTGATAAAGGCCGTTACGACATATTAACGTCAAGAATTGATAATATTGTTAAAAATCGTTGATTTATCGCTTATGAGATTTTTTATGAAATCCGTTGGTCGAAAAAAAATGGAAATTTCGAAAGAGGAAACGATGGGAGTAAAACGTTTTAAAGACAATGGGGCAGAGACACACACACATATGTGTTAATTAATATTTATGATTTAGTCCATTAAAATTTCCATGGTTTGTTTCTAACAACAATGAGATTTCGAATTTTATTCATATATTGGTCGTATGCTTGAGAAATTGGCTTCCATTACAAAGTAAAGAAAGTAAAATGATATCTAGTTTTGTTATGTAAAACATGCAAATTTCTAATTACTATTATTAGATTTTTATTAGAAGCAGATATTTGATGGAGACAGGCGTCGTATAAGTATACTTACTATAGGTAAAAATTTTAAAATACAGAGGTACAAGGTAAATTGGAAATTTTCTCTATTAGTCTAAGCCCTAATTTTATTTATTTAAGTCTGTCTAGTCAATGCCAATTCAAAGAAAAGTATTTTTTTTCTTTTGAGTATACTATTATATATAATATAATACTTAGGTATGACATAATTTTTCATATAATGGCAAAATTTCACAAAACTTAGTCTAAGCGATTTTTTGAGAGAAAAGTAAATTTTGGATAATATCAAAAATAAATTTTACAGAAAACGTAAGTATTACTTTTTAAATTTAATTGTAAGACAATCGTCATCTCGGTAACCTGACCGAACTGTTTATTTTGAGGTATAAGTGAAATTTAAAGTTTAGTAGATACTATTTGTTTAAAAGATTAAACTATTTATATTTTATATATATATAAAATATTTTGCCGGCAAAAACTTATTGTATTGTACACTCTTAAACCCGAAGAGTGAAATCTATCCTCAAAAATAAAATTAAATCTAAAATACTCTTTTTTAAATGAAAACGAATAAAAAAGAATGGAATTTACTAAAACAAGGTGAGTTTTTTTAAATTCCACTCTTTAAGTTTTAAATAAAAAGTCGTCTTTTCTTAAGTCGTAAATTCACTCTTTATAAAGGTTAAATGTGCTTTTTAAACTTGAAATTTCACTCTTTAAGTATTTAAATAAAAGTACTCTTTTTTCAATCAAAACATTCTATCTTTATAAAAGTTAAATGTATTTTTTTAAATTATAATTTTATCTTTAATTAATTAAATAAAAAGTACTCTTTTCTGAAGACGTAGGTTCACTCTTTAAAAAGGTCATATGTACTTTTTAAACTTAAAATGTCACTCTTTAGATATTTAAATAAAAATACTTTTTTTTTCAAACGAAAATTCTGTCTTTATAAAAGTTTAATGTATTTTTTAAATTGAAATTTATTCCTTAATTATTAAAAAAAAATCATAAATGTTCAGTGTAGGTACATACTCTTTAAACTTGAAATTTTACTTCTCTTTTTTAATATTAAATTTAGTCTGTTAAAAGTTATGTAAATATTTCAAAGTTAAAATTTCAAATATTAATAATTTAAATAAAAAGTACTATTTTCATAACTCATAAATTCACTGCTTATTTTTAAAGTAAAATTTTTACAATTAAAAATAATCGCATAGTAGGATTGTGCATTTTTTGCAATTATGAACCTAAATTCATTGTAACGTTTGACCTTTATCAGTGTTTGTTTTGATTTCATCTTAAAGAAAGCGGTAGAGCGGCTCTACTAGAGCCTCTACCGTAGAGGGGGCGCAAAGCCATTTATGCATAGAGAGGCTTCGACGCGAGGTGAAAGTGTTTTAAGTGATAAAATGGAAGAAATATTAAAATAACAGGTTGTGAACGATGAGTCAATTAATCGGCTTAAAGGTAAGTTTGTTTGTAATAATTATATTTAAATTTATTAAGATTCTAAGTAAAATAGGATGGTTCCAGCCTTAAAGGAGTGAAATTAATTCTTTAAAGGATGAAATTAATTCTTTAAAGGATGAAATTAATTCAAAAAAAGTTTTTTAAATAATTATTATTTTTAAATTGTAATTCGAATATAACATACTTTTAATCTCGCCCGCTAAGGTTAATCTGTAAAAAAAATTGTTTTATGCTTGGAATTTGATTTTAGATGACATTTAATTTTTAATAATAATAATAAAAATAATAATAATAATTTATTTAATGCCAAAAATACAAGATCTTTACACAGGTCAAACAAAACAATATATAAATATAAAAGTACAAAGATACGTAGGCAGTGTTGTTCCCAGCGGGAAAAAAAGCGTAACAGATTTTACAGAAAAAAGTAATAGATCCCTATAAAATGTAATAGATCCCCATTTTTTAACTACCTATCATTATAAAAATAAAGAAATTTGTTATTTTATAAAGGTAAAGGGAAAATCATCCAAAGACATCATGCATGTTTTGTGAATAAAGATTTTATTTAAATATTTGTTAACAAAAACAGATATCGATAAAATAATAAAATTGTACAGGTAATTACTTATCATGGTACTATTACTACAAGTTTAATTTTATTTCAATGTTTTTTTCATGGATAACTTGACGGAATAAATTTTTGTAGTTATTATTGTGCATTTACCTACTTAAAATTTTTCAATAAAATTTAGTAAAGGGTCGTTTTGAGGGGTGGTGAATTCA